CTCTACCCACTAGATGCTGGTAGCGCCTCCATGCCAGTTATGACTAGTAAACACGTCTCTGGCTGTTTTCAGTTTAAGAGTAGATGTTCTCCCACTTGTGGATACATTGGAATCACATAGTGGGATTGTTAATACAGAAAGTGGGCCTTGCCTCTAGATTTTCAAGAGCAGGAAAGATTGTATTCCCTGTGTTATAGCTAGACCTTACTGTCCAGGTGAATGAAAATTCTCTGTAAATACTTTTGATTGAGGGTAAACACAGCAGATTCAGCATTTAAGACTTGGGCATTTAAGTCAAAGAAAAACAAATACCATATGATTTCACTTATAAGTGGAATCTAATGAACAAAATGAACTAACAAAATAGAAACAGACTCATAACTGTCTGAGGGGAGGACATAAGGGAGCTGGAATAAAAAAAGTGAAGGGATTAAGAAAAAAGAAAAAGTCATAGACAGACAACAGTAAGGTCGTTACCAGAGGGAAATGGGGGTGGCGGGAGGCAGAAGAGGGTAAAGGGGATAAATGGTGATAGAAAGAGACGTGGGGTGGGGTGGTGAACACGCAATACAATATAAAAATGATACATGACAGAACTGAATGCCTGAAACCTATATAATTGTAACCAATGTAACCCCGGTAAATTCAATTTAAAAAGTATTGCCACGTTGTCCCATCCCATCTTCCCAGAATACCAGCTGCGTGCAACAGTTATTTTTTCTTTTTTTTAAGCATGGCTAGGAACTCTCAAACTGAAAGATAAAAAGAAAACCAGGAATGACTAAAGAATTGACAAGGAAAATAGAGGCATCAGACTCAACCTGTGGATCAATTCACACCTGCTAAAGGAGAAATAGAACGTACGGAAGATTTTAAGTAAGTACAATTGCGCTACTTTCTGCTACAGGCATAAAAAAATCACCTAGAGGTTGTGGAAATTAAATATTGGAACCCTAAGTAAAAAATCTCAGTAGATGGACTGAACAGTGAAGTAGACACAGTTGACAGGTCATTAGAAAACTGGACCGTCTAGAGGGTCATAGCACAAAGGGAAGACAGGACGGGAAATGTGAGAGAGAAGACAAGAGAACTGAACAGCACTGAGGAGTTTGGACATCCCGCTAAAATGGCATTGAAAAAGTGAGAACAGAGCAAATGGAGTGATAAAAAAAAACAACTTTAAAGGAGGGAAAGGAAAGAAGAGGCAGGAGCAGCAGGAGAAGCAGAAGATTTTCTTCAAAAGTGAAGAATGTCTTAAGACTGAAAGAACTCACTTCAGACTGAATGTAAGAAAAGCTCATTAGGTGTATTATGTGCAGTTTCAGAGCACTGTAGATGAAGACAAGATCCTACAATCTTCCAAAGAAAGGGAGCAGGCTGGTTATGTTCAAAAGAATAAAAATTGCACTGACTCCAGACTTCCCATGAGCAGCCCCAGGGACTTAGAAAACAGAGAAGAGATGTCAAATTCTCAGGTCTTACTTAAACTTACAGTCATAAAGGGAGGCAAAATACAGGATGTGAAAGTAGAGCACAGAGAACGTCATCAGCCCTAGCTGGTGTAGCACAGTGGATTGAGCACAGCCTGCGAAACAAAGGGTCGCCGGTTCAATTCCCAGTCAGAGCACATGCCTGGGTTGTGGGCCAGGTCTTCAGTGGGGGCCACGTGAGAAGCAACCACACATTAATGTTTCTCTCCCTCTCTTTCTCCCTCCCTTCCCCTCTCTCTAAAAATAATAAATAAAAATAAAATCTTTTTAAAAAGAATATTAAAAAAGAGAGAGAGAATGCCATCAATAATATTGTAATAGTTCTATCTGGTGTCAGATGGGTACTGGACTGATCAGGGTGATCCCTTTGTAAGTTGTATCAGTATCTGACCACTATGTTGTACACCTGAAACAAATATAATCAAACGTAAGTGAAAAAGAAAGAAAGTGCACTAATAAAATAAAATGTTAAATATGTTCAAAATAGACAAAATAACATTTAATTTAAAATGCAAATTTTAAAAATTTTTGAACATATAATAACTAAGAAAGTTTAATACAGAGAGAGTCTCTCTTTCCCTCTTGTAAAATGAGGTATAATTTACAAACACACAGGTCTTAAGTTACAGTTCTGTGGGGTTGAAATAAGCTTACACATCCTTTTAAAAGAAAAGAGAACAATATTATAACCTCTGATAGCATTTTACAAATGTTAGCTCATTTAACTTTAAAAACCCAGAAACTAGTAATGGTGGGTAGTATCATTCACCCTACCGATAGATGAGAAAACTGAAGTACGAAGACTAGGTAAGTGGCCAAGACACACAACTAGTTTAAAAAATATAATAATTAAAAGAAAATACAAGGGCAAGGTCCACATTAGTTGTGTGTCTTCAGCTTAACTATTTCTGTAAAACATTTACCAAACACAGTGTTCCTGCCAGGAAAAATCAGATGACCTTGTTGGTTTCAGTTGGGAAATGCTTATTCAGTGATACTTGGACCGTAGGGAAGGGAGTCTGTTCCAGCTGGGAAACAATCTCTCTGTACCTACTATGTGCACAGCGGATGTGCTGGAAAACTTGGAGGGATTGAGTCAGTTCTCCATTGTGAACAAATAGATGATATGAAGGGATATTGGAAGCGAATGGGTGAATGAAGAAGTAATAACGTTGGCAAGAAAGGATGCTCAATCTGAGTAACATTTATTTAGCATCTATTTTATGCAGACACTGTACAGATGTTACTCCATTTACTCCTTTAGGAAACAGTCTAAAGGAGGCAGCTTGTTCCTTGGATAAATGTTAGCCAGGAGAGTAAAGTACTCTGTTAAAATCAGAGAGAAAATATTCAGAAAAACATGGACTAGAATGCAGGTCAGATTTACTGTTAATTTAAATCATGTGAAAAAAGACAGTTTATTTAAAAGATTTTATCTATAATGCGCCCTGGCTGGCGTAGCTCAGTGGATTGAGCACGGGCTGGGAACCAAAGTGTCCCAGGTTCAATTCCCAGCCAGCATACATGCCTGGGTTGCAGGCCATGACCCCCAGCAACCGCACAGTGATGTTTCTCTCTCTCTCTCTCTCTCTCTCTCTCTCTCTCTCTCTCTCCCTCCCCCTCCCTCCCTTCCTCCCTTCCCTCTCTAAAAATAAATAAATAAAATCTTAAAAAAAAAGATTTTATCTATAATGCTATGACCATAAAATACTTTTCTAACTCTTAAAACTTGTTTATTATATTTGAATATTATTTAAAATTTAAAAAGCAAGCATTTCTTTTGATCTGGCAATTCCACTTCTAAACATTTTATCTTAAGGGGGGAAATGGAGACAACTGTATCGGAACAACAATAAAAAAATAGATACTATTAATAAAATAAGTATGGAAGCCCTGCTTCGGGAAATATATTCTCAGCACACATATCCAGAAAGAAGTTATACTCAGAATATCTAAGGAATCAACAATAAAAATCTAAAAATCAACAATAAAAACATGAACAACTCAAAAAAAAAAAGAAAAGAAACATGGATGTATATTTACAGAATATGTTCAACAGAGTATAACTGACAACAGAGAAAAACAGTAAATGACCCTAATGTTCAACATAAGGAGACTGGTTAAAAATATATACAGTACATACATACAATGGAATAATAAAATATAACATACATTATATAGAAGAATGAAATATATTCACTATACATACATACCTATTAACATTTATGTTCTAAACACATTTAATGACATGAATTATGTCATTTTAAATTTAAAAACAAGTTACAAAATTGTATATATAACATGCCATTATTTTTCTAAAAAATAAAATAATGGATAAAAACAAATGAAAATATATTCTCAAGTTAATAGTATAGTTACCTCTGGATAGTGGAACTGGGAGTAACTTGATTCTTTTTTTTTATAAAATACTTTTTAATATTTTGTGTTCCCTTCTAAATTTATCTTTCTACATTATTAAAATTCTTATATATATTGAATATGTATAAGCATAGAGTTACATATCATAATCAGGGACTATGTACTGTTTTATGTTCTAAACTTTCTCCTTTTATTTTGTTTTATTTATTTTTTTGTGAGCAGTCATCTGATTTATAAAAAGATGTAACAAATATTAAAATGATAGAAAATGTCATTTTCAAAGCAACATCAAAAAGTGAGTGTATTTAACCATACTTAGCCCATAACAGAGCAAATGGGTGAGTGGGGCAATAATAACTCATTCTGTAGCACGTTTAATAAACTGGCAACAGAGAGAGTTGGTTGAAGGAAAGCAGAGGAACTTCATCCTTTAAGCATTAGAAACGCGGGGCTCCACAGTCAACTGGCCTCCGCTCAATGTTGTTCCTATGATTAGAAATGTACACGATGGGAACTCCCAGAATCTTCCTGATTCTTTGTTTAAGATCCCCAGTCAACTGTGGCCACAATGTAACACTTGTGCTGAGTCACTCTCTGTACTAAACAGTTATCTGCACAGGTTCCTTCGTGTGAACATGGTAATCGTTCAAATCTTGGATCCTTGGCGATCCTTAGAGCCACTGGGTACTTCTGCCCCAGTTTCTCAGTTTCAGCCATTACAGAGTCAGTTAACAAGGGATACACTTGGCATAGAGACAGTCCCTCACTGACTGCACTAAGTCCAGTTTAGCCTTGATGGAAAGTGGATAAAGTTGGTATCAACCAGGATGTGGTAAGGTGGCTCAGCTGTATGTTATATTGGAAGCATAAGCAGGAAGAGTAATGGGGGACTTCTCTTTCCTTCAATGCACTAGGATCCTTCTTTTCTTTCTTTTTAGATTTTAACCTATCCTTTTCTTTAAGCCTCTGATCTCTCAGACTAAGCATTCACTTAGTGGTCACATATCTCCTTGTTTTCCTTTGCTTTCCCATGATCAAGCCACACTCCAACTTTCTCCTTTTATTTTAATACCGTCCCTTGCACGTGGGTGTGAACATAGCTACTACATTAACGGTTCCTTGCAGCTGCAACATACTAAGGGGTCATGATTATGTAACCTTATCCCTGTTATCAACATAGAGGTTGTGTCTTACTTTTTCCTACTTGT